GCATAGCATGGCATGTGCATTTCATCTCTTGAGAATTGTATAAAATGTATATACTTTGATAAGGATTTTGTACTGCGCTTTATGCTCACCCTACGAGATTTTTGTGCAGGAAAAGATGTGGTGATGCCGCCTAACTAAAGGCAAGGAAATGTGTGTTGAAAGTATGAGACTCTCATTTTGCTGTGACTCTGAGTGTAAGCTAAGGGCTGTATGTGTGTGGGTTTGAATAACTATTTTGTGTAACCAGGCTCAAGCCTTGGAAACTTGTAAACTCTTGAGGGTATTTATTTGTTTATTTACTTGTTGTTGGATTAATGTATTGTTACATGAAGAACTATTGTATCATGTAATGTAAGTTTAGAGATTTATATTCAGTTTTCCTTGAAAGAGCCATGATTGTTGTATTATCATTTGGGCTAGAAATTTGGGACGTTACAACTTACATCATTATATACATATTGTGTTTATATGGACAAATTTAGGTAGTTTAAATGTAGGAGGCTATTGTCATTTTGCAGAGTCTGAGAGAGTCAGATATAAAGAGACTGTTTTTGTGGACCAACGTGAAAATTTTGATAAAATCTATCCCGCAATGTATAACCTCTATTTTATGGGTTACATTGTATGAAGCTCTAGTCGTTACAAAATTTGAGGAGTTTTGAGTGTACGCAATCTTACTACTATGTGCAAAGACATTATTTTCATGAATTAACATAAGAAAAAATTGATTTAAAAAACTCTTCCCATATTTGTTTGGGACTAATCTATGATCCATTGGGAACTCATTTGACACCCAAAATCACAAAATAAAAGCCTGACACAAAATCATTCAATTTTTTTTTTATTTGTTTAAAATATACAGTTTGACAATTTCTTTCAAGAAAGGTATTTACACATCTTAAATATGAACACCCACTGTAAAAAAAAAAAAAAAAAAAGACACGTTGTCTTAGTCTTTGAGCAACAACAGCAATATATGGCTTCATTTGATTAACCATTAATCATTAGCTGCAAATGCTTTCCATAAACAGGCTATATATCATCTTCTCTTCCACCTCCACATCGTGTAATAGAGTTTGTACACAACAAAATGTCACCTTATTCACATTTGAGAAAGAACTGAGACATTTCAAGGAGTGGTATTCACCGAGATCTCTTGTGCTAGAGGTGAACTTTGTGGGTCAAAAAATGATGTTATGACCAGATGCTACAAAGGCTTTAGAGCCACCATGGGCTGTGCAAATGAAGGCTGCAAGTTTGGATCACTGTCCATTCATAGAATCAAAGAAATTAGTCATAGCATATATAGATTTTGAGGTGTATGATTTGGACATATTTGATTCACAAATAGGATAAGGTGAGATAAGTAATCTGGGATTACAATCTCAATAATAATATAACTTATCTCGAGGAGGGTATTTTTGAAATTTTGCAACAAAAGTGTTATCTCATGATAAGTAGAAACTAATCAATGGCTCCAATTTATTTTAGGGGCATCTAAAGTGGAAAAATGTTGTCATTGGGCCTTCAAATCCATCAGGAAGTCCAAAAACATCCTTAAACATCCAAAAACTTACATTTGGATTACTAATTTATGATCCACATCACAATGAAAAATCCAATCAAACACCCACAAGATCCATATGAATAATTTGTTGGTAATTTTTCCATAACAATACAAGAAAAATATATATAAAATGAATTAAATAGAAATGACAAAACAATTATTATTATTATTTAAAGAATGAAAGATACAATAAACTATAGAACTAAAAAAACACAAGAATAAACAAGATTACACCATGAACATATTACAAGATGGATTCAAATGGACATATAAAATAATATACAAGAAATTATTTAAATTTAAAACTTTGAAGGACAAAAGATAAAGATGCAAACCGAAGCCTGTGTGATACCACAGTTTCTTTAAAATAGATTCACGGCCTCCTGATGGATGCTGGAGGTACGCCAGCGTCTGTCTTCCAGGAGACGATGGTCGAAACCAAAGCACCTTCTAAATAGCTTCGGCGAACTTGAGAATGGATGCACTCTCTCTAACAAGAACCAAAGAAGGGGTTAGCAAAAAAAGATAGGAAAAATTTTCTTTGGTGTAAAAAACCATCTCCAACTTTTTATCTCAAAATATAATCTCCATTTTCCATCAAAAATCTCTCCAAAATTATCCTACATCAATGGGGTCATCAAATGTCTTCAACTCTAGCCATTAGGGTTAAAGTTACAAAGGTTCAAAACTCCGAAACCATTATATAAATCATAATGTACTATTCTAACTAATTAATAATTACAACACGAATTAACTAGTAGCTAGTTATTACAAGTCCACAAGCGAACGAGCCTCGACAAGTAAGGGAAATGCTTATGTATGCACGGATTTTCACCCGAAAAGACCACTGTTCTGCTGTCAAAATGCTTCTGTTGCACAATAGAAACTTTTTTCACTTCAGCCTCTACTTTGTTCTGCTCCAGAAAGTCACTGCTCTATTTGACAAAAGTGGCTGGTAGGCCAGAAATGGTGGCTTGCCGGCCACAAATGGTAGCCTGCTGTCCAGAAATAGTGGCCTGCCGGCCACTGATGCCTGGTTCCTCCTACTGCAACAGAAATCATACAGAGCACAAATAGGGTATTCTCAAGGTATGTTTGTACACCTTACCCCTCATTATCAAATAGCTCAAAGAAGTGGCAAGCTCAATTCACAAGCCATCAATTAATGCAATTTCATTGCATGATGGCCTATGAACCAAGGTGTACAATTTCAATAAATGCACAATAAGAGACTTTCAAACCTCCTCCTTATCATGGATTGATCAAGGGAAGTGGTTGACCTTGGAAGCTTGAACCATTTCATCACCCATACTTCTCCTTAAAATCCAGGTATCAAAGATAGGGAAACTAGAACCTTATAGGTTATAACCAACACAGATGGGGGCAATTCCAGATGATGTGGGACACATTCTCACAGGATATTATTTCCCTCATTAACATTGTGTTCATGCAATCTGTTTGCATCAATCTTGTTTTTGTTTTGGTTGATTCCAATCTGAGTTAAAGAGTGGAGTAATTTAAAAGAATAATGTTGCTAGGACTGAATTTTGTAACTTCATAGTGATATATTGATGTGGGTTGAATTTTATATAAATTACCATTATCCCTATCATATTTATTCTACTGGGTCTCGTTCCAAATACCAGAGTTTCATTACTGTTTTGACATTGAGCATTGTAATATTTTAGTAAAGTATGTTGTTGATGCTAGTCATATGGGTTTGCAAGATCCATATTGGCACAAGCTTTTGTGGCAATGTTTTGACAACAACTCCTACCAAGGTTGTCCTCTCCCAGAAAGACAATATTATGCAAACAAAGAGCTTAATGTGGAAGACAATTGGAATTATGGAGGAGGAGGTATCTATAATTCCTCCTCAATCTGTTAGGAATCAAACTAAATAATTGGCAATAAGTTATTTCAATTTCTTGAACTACAGATTCATAATTAAAAGAATTAAATGTTTGAAGATTATATATATGACAAGTATAGGATAAAATGTGTTCTCTAGTATACTCTTTAAGATACTTTGATTGAAAGCAAGTTGAAAACACTGTTCGATGTAATTTTTTCTTGTGTTTGGGGTTTTAGGGGAAAACTGTTCCATGGTTTTAGTTTGTTAATGTTTGGTGATTTTAGCATGTCCAGATGTAAATTTGTTGTAGTTTCCAAATTTGAAGAAAATTTTCTTTTAGAAAGTTTTTGGACTACGCAAATGATCCCAGACCATTCATTTTACATAGATTCATAAGCTGCTTATTGACAACAACTTTAACCATGATATGATAAATTTCATTATAAAATCAATAGACATCTATGCATAAAAGGATACATTCCATGAAAATATATTTATTCATATTATTAAGAAGACACAAATACGAGACTTCTACATGACTTCTACAATCTAAAAACATTTACTCATGTATAACAGCACAAGTCTAGTCCAAACATTATCTAGAAAATGGAAATATGCATATCTCCATGACTTCATGAACAATATAGGAACAGAGATGCCCCAAAAACCAATAACAAATCCTAAAGCCATAAACAAATTAAACCAATCCACTTCAAATCTGGCATCTTCTCTATCTCCTTCATTCCCCATATCTGGTGTTTTGCCTTTATCACTACAATTCTTTGTGAGTGGAAGCCCACAAAGCTTATTACCGATAAAGCTAGAAGGATTGAAGGTCTGGAGTTGGGTGCTCGATGGAATTTTCCCTGACAAGTTATTATTAGACAAATTCAAGTAACTCAAAAAATTCAAACCTAACATGCTTGGCGGAATTTCACCACAGAGTTGGTTTCTGGATAAATCAAGAGACTCCAACAACACCATCCTACCTATATTCTTCGGAATCACACCAGTTATATGATTTCCAGATAAATTCAAAAAATGCAATCCTTGGAGACTAGTTAGTTCCTCAGGCATCTTCCCAGATATATTGTTGTTGGAAAGGTCGAAGCTAGTCGCCAGAGTAACAGTCTTGTCATATCGATATATACTTCCTTTTGTCACCAAAATTGCGTTCTCTGAGAAATCTTTACTACCAAAGGGAGCATAAGCAGAAGTAGAAGCAACCGAGAAATCTTTACTACGAAAGGAAGCAGAAGCAAAAGTAGAAGCAATAGGAGAAGCAACATGCGAAGCAATGGTGTTTTCATTTGCATTTGCATTTAAAGAGTGAATATAATGCACATATTTTTCTTTTCTTACCATGGCAATAAAATTGTTGATACATCGTGGTATTGCTCCGGACAAATTGTTGTTAGCAAGATCCAACAGTTAAAGAGAATAGAGGCAACAAAGTTCTGGTGGTATTACGCGATCTAACTTATTTCAATGAATGGTAAGAAAAATCAAATTTGGAAGACTTTCTGCGATCCACATAGGTATGCTTCCTTGAAACCGATTCTCACTGAAGTCAACCACTTATAAATTTGTCCAGTTCTGCAAAGACAAAGGCATTTCTCCAGAGAAACTGTTATTGCGCAAGTGTAACGATTGCAAACCTCCTAAATGCCCCATGGATCTTGGGATATTCCCTGTTAGATTGTTGTTTCCCATTTCTATGAGTATTAGGGATTGCCAACTCATCGAACAATCAGGAATTTCACCTGACAAAAGGTTTTCTCCTAAATCAAGAAAAGCCAGTTTTTTTTGTTTGTCCTTCCTATCACATAGGAAGTGGGAGATATCCCTAGAAAATGAGTTGTTGGAAAAATGAAGATCTTCTAAATTAGAAGAAATACGGGGTAATGGACCGCTAAAATGGTTGAAATTTAAGTAAATATGTTGGACTTTAGAAGCAATGAAAAGATACAGAATCTCACCATGGATTTGGTTGTGCAAGAGATCTACAAAATAAAGTGAGGAAGAGAACTTCCAAAACCAAATTGGTATCTCATCTAAGATTCCAGTGTAGGACAGGTCAAGAATCGCAAGGTCCTTCTGTGGTCGGAGCCATATGGGAAACTTTGGGCCCAAATTCCAGGAAGCAAGTTCTACTCCTATAAGTTGAAATGGAGGGATCCAGTCACGACTCACCTTTAAAGTTAACTGGTTTCCAGAGCCATATATTCTATTCAGATTGATGAGATTGGTGAAGTGAATTTCAGACACAATGTCTTCCAACATATTATTAGACACATAAAGTTGTTGCAACTTTGAAAGGTGTCCAAAACTTTGGGGAAGAGTTCCATTTAGTTGATTTCTTTCGAAATCCAAATATTCTAAGGATGCCAATCTTCCTATAGTGGTTGGAATGGAACCAGAAAGCAAATTATTCCTGAGATTAAGGAATTGCAAAAGTTTAAATTGTTCAAGTTCATCAGGTAAATGACTGGAAAGCTGATTAAAACGCAAGGACAATATCTCCAAAGCACATACTGCACATTTAGATAAACTTATAAGCCATTTCCTGCTAAAGTTGTTAACTGACAGATCAACAAAACTCAAGTTGCAAATATTCCCAAGAATCTTGGTAGACTTCCCTCTAGTTTATTACCTGATAGATCAAGATGTCGAAGACTGGTCAAGTTCGACAAAAGCACAAGAAATGGACCCTAAAGTTCATTAAGTGATAGATCAAGATATTCAAGACTGGTCATGTTCTGGAAAACTTTAGGAAATGGACCTTGAAATCCATTTTCTCTAAAACCTTCAAGCCTTTCTACAAAAATCTCCCCGCTTAGATCAAGAGAAATAGGGCTAGTAAGGCAAAAGATCCACCTAGGTATTAAAGAGTTAAAGAAGTTCTCGGAAAGATCTAGTACAACAAGAGATGCAAAATTAACACCGAGTAGAGGAGGAATGCGATCAAGTTCACAACCAAACAAAAGTAACTCACTCTCTGTAGCGATCCTAGTTTTGCCACTTCGCTGAGTATGTCGGGAATCGAGCTGCCCGGTAGCTCGCGGGGGTCCAGGGGGCAGCGCCTCTTGGCAGGTCCTAGGGCAGCGTCCTGGCGGGGTTGAGGGGCAGCGCCCCCGAAGCAAAAATGCAAAATGCATTAGAAGTTGTTTTTCCACTCGAGCGGCCGTTTATGCGCTCAAGCAGAGAATGTTTGATTCCAAAAGTTTGACCTGTTTGCAAAAAATACTGGGAAAGTGTATTTGACGCTTGAGCGGGGCTTTCTACGCTCGAGCAGACCATGTTATATCAGTTCGTGAATCTGATATTTCAAATAAATTTTGTATATCTCTTTCTCTCTAAAAACATTTCATCTCCCTTCTCTCTACATTTCACTACACAAACTATATCAAAAACCTTGATTTCTCAAGATCCATTTGAGTTTTGCCATTGCTTCTTCATCAAAGTGGGTTATCATCTCGAGGGTTTCGTTGTGTGCGGTGAAGATCGAGTTAAGGCATCGTTGATTTTTGGGGTTTCATCTCCATTCTTCTTCAAACTTGAGGTAGGGATTTTCTTTGAGTTATATATATATATATATTTGCAAGATCTAGATGATTTTCGAAATCATCATTTAATAGCGTTTGAAAATTGATTGTTGATTCAAGAAGTTGAGCGATTTTGAAAGTGGGTTTGTCTCTTGTTTTTTTAAAATGATCTTATGGGTCTTAATGTTCGTTGATTGAAGAAAAAGACGATTTTTGAAAGTTTTCTTTCAAAAGATTTGGTTGTATAGTTTTGGTGAGAAAACCTAGAAATTGGAAATTTTTAAAAGAAATTGAAAATCCATGAATGATATTATTATATTTATTTTGTGTGTCAAAATAAATGGATGTTTGGAAAATTTCTTATTTATATTTATATAAATAATGAATTTTATGGAATATGAGAATTGTTGTTCATTTTGAAAATTATTGTTCAAAACGTTGAAATAGTCTTGAAATGACTTATTGTTGAGGATATTTGAGAAGAGGGAATTGTGTTATTTCTTGGATAATGAATTAGAATGAAAGTATTTATATCCATCTTGTATTATTGGCATATCAATTCATTTGATTATATTAAACTTTGAAAGTTGATTTGAAAACTTGCATTGAGAAAAGAATGTTGAGAAACAAGTTTTCATGGAATGGTTTGGGAGGTAAATACGTTGGCAAGTCTTGATAGGTGGTGTAGATGATATTGAATAAGTTGGCCTGAGAGTCTGGGGTGAAAGACCGAAAACCCGCACGGATAGGTATCAAGCCTTCCGGTTAATACTGATAAAAATGACAATTTTGTAGTATTTGTATAATCTACTTGCAGACACCGACCTAGGGATTACCAGAATCGTATTTACCGCTCTTGAAATGAATTGTTAAGTTTTGAAGAATTGAAATTGCATGACATCATTGAGCATGATGGTTTTCAAATATGAAGATTGTGATTTTGTTTCAAAAGGGCATAGTATGGCATGTGCATTTCATCTCTTGAGACTTGTATAAAATGTATATACTTTATTAAGGATTTCGTATTGGGCTTTATGCTCACCCTACAGGATTTTTGTGCAGGAAAAGATGTGGTGATGCCGCCTAACTAAAGGCGAGAAAATGTGTGTTGAGAGTACGAGACTCTCATTTTGTTGTGACTCTGTGTGTAAGTCAAGGGCTGTATATGTGTGGGTTTGAATAACCGTTTTGTGTAACCAAACTCAAGTCTAGGAAACTTGTAAACCCTTGAGGGTATTTATTTGTTTATTTACTTGTTGTTGGATTAATGTATTGTTGCATGAAGAACTATTGTATCATGTAATGTAAATTTAGAGATTTATATTTAATTTTTCTTAAAAGAGTCATGATTATTATATTATCATTTGAATTAGAAATTTGAGGCGTTAGACTCTCCATGCACATGACCACATCACGGTTTGCATTGCAGACGCTGAAATGAATGGATGTTATGGTGAGAAAGACAAGAAAGAAGAAAAGAACTGCAACAGATTGCATTGATCTATTAAACCAAGCAGGTGGGAGATATATTGTATTGTATTGTATTGTCTTGTCTTGAGATCAATGAAGTAGAAATAGCCACTATATATAGATGTCCAATTATTCAGCATACGCAGGCCACATGTTACTTTCACTTTTCTCTTCTCTGTTTGCTTAGTTTACTTTGAATATATTATACATATATATATAAAGGGAACATCTCTATTGGTATAATTGTTACAAAATTTTTTTTTTTTCTAAAAATGCCCACACAACATGATAATTGTTATAAATTAGCTCCCATTCTCTCCAATTGTTTCAAATAACTACCAAAATTATCGTATTCAATTTCAAATTGCACACACCTACCTCTAGTGTGTGTATATATGTTTACTTACATGAGTTACTCTTATTAGGTCCTATTTTAATTTCCAAAATTCTATTTTTGCTTGTCACATCAATGAATAATAGGAGTTTATAAGTTGTGTTAGTTTTTCTTTCTTCATTTTTTTGGGTTAGACTATAGAGGAAATTTTAATCGGAGAATTTCAATTCAGTGTATGATTTGAAAAAAAAATACAGATAAGTAATAAACTTCATAAATATTAATAATCAAAATCATAAATTTTTTCATGATTTTATAATTTGAGTTAAAAGGACAATTGATAAGTAATTTCTCCAATTTTAATTGCAAGTGCTCATGGATATTAACATTAAGAAAAATGATAAGACCTTCAGCCACTCACCTTTGGTCAATTCACTATTCTTTTCCATAACAATATTTTACAAGAAATTTCTGTTTATTTGTATTTTGAGGAATTCTGTCAATTCACTATTCTTTTCCATAACAATATTTTACAAGAAATTTCCGTTTATTTGTATTTTGAGGAATTCTGTACAAATTATTGTGCAAAATCATGGATTCAAACCCATAATAAAGCTCCGTTCAAAAAAAAAAAAAAAACCCCATAATAAAGCAGTGAATAAATGAATAAAAATATAAGATATACATCCTTTAGCAAGATATTTACGTTCACGGTGAAAAGTAAAACCAAATTCACTTCTCAACCTCTTCATTACTCTCTCTCCTATAATACTTTCTGAAACTTTATTTGGAAATTACAATATATATCACCAATTTTTTTTACGCCCACAAGGACCTGAGTGAATCTCTAATGGGGCTTTCACTCCGTCTCCAGGCCTTGGTCATCTGCCACTGGTAAAAAATCTTTTATATTATTTTTAAGTATAAAATAAATATGTAACACATCGTAACACAAATTAATAAATTTAATAAATATTTCCTGTCACAATATTTTAGTGATCCGTTTCAACTATCAAAATTCTATTATTGTAGTACGTTCTACTTCTCTTTTTTTTTGCTGTGTTCTTTGGGTTTAGACTATGAAAAAAAATTCAATTTCAAGTCTTCCGTGATATTGACACTAAGAAATATGTTTCATAAACAAAATTTTATACATAAAATTCATCCATATTGATGTGACATAATTATTTTTATAAATTTAAATTATAATAATAATGTTTTGACTTAAAATAAAGGAATCACATAAAATTAAGTAATTTTGTATAATTTATTTATACAAAATTTCTATTTACGTATAAATAAATTTATACAAAAATAGAACCACTTGTTTTTGTTTGCTTCGGCGTTTTGTTTGGGTTAGAAGGGAAGTTTCCAAGTCTTGACATCAACCATGGACATCTATATCCAAGACTACTGTAGTAGGTAGGTAGCAATATGTTAAAAGATATTGATTATCTAAAAAAAATAAAAAATAATGAATGTTTTTAATTTTTATTTTCTCATTAATCAGTATAACACCTAAGAGTTTTAAGGATTAAATTTTTTATTTTAGAAATAAAAATTTTGTTATAAAAAATATTTGAGAATCAATTTTTTTCATCGTGAGGATAGTCATTAAAATATCATCTCAAAAAGTCAAAAAAAAAAAAGAAGAAATTTTGCGAATTTTTTTTAAAAAATATTGCTAATAAATACATTTTAGGACAAAATAATTTGATCTAAAAAAATATATATTTTAGAGACAAATTTTGGTCATAAAAGATAGTAATTTATCATTAAATGACTAATAATGACACTTTTGCCAACAAAAATATTTCGTTTCTAAAAAATAATTTTGTCTCTAAAATTTTATCTTTAAAATCTTAATTTGTCGCAGTGACTTCAATAGTCCCAAACAAGTCCTAAATAAGGCCTCCCAGAGCATGTTTCTTAAAGGTGTGTTTGGTTTATAAATTTGGAGAGGAATTTAGAAAATGAAAGGGAAAAGATATGTAAGAGACTATTTTGGTAGGTAGGTAGCAATATGTTAAAAGATATTGATTATCTAAAAATTGAAGAAGAATGAATGTTTTTAGTTTCTATTTTCTCATTAATCAGTCCAACACCTTATATGAGTTTTAGGGACTAAATTTTTTATTTTAGAAATAAAAATTTTGTTGCAAACATTTCACCATCTTTTTCCTTTTCACTTTCCAAATTCCTCCCCAATCCTTAAACCAAACACATCATTATAAAGGTAATCCTAAAAGGATTCACTTGTGTATAAATTTTTATTTTATTTTATTTATCTATAGATACCATTCCTGCAGATCCATGAATATGATTTGTAATTTCTTGTATT